CGTGTAACTGGCAAGTCACGAAACTCTCTGGGATTCAGTTTCCATCTCTGTTAAATGAAAGAGTAGAATCTGAAAATCCCCACCTTTTGTAGGGTCTGATCCCACAATCCTTCCTGAGAAAAGTTGTCTGACCCTAGCACACACAACTCTTTCCTGTCCCAGGAAAACAAATGACAAGAGGAATTAAGTGTGCCCAGGGTAAAAAGAGACAGGGAGTCAATAATCAAACACTTATTTAGAAAGTGTCGCATACAGTATGATAATTAAAACCTAAACATCTGGAGAAAATGCAAACAGTGTTTAATGCCGGCAGGTACCAAGAGACCTGCAAGAATGATCAATGTGTTCTGTGGAGCGAGGGTCCTAATTATAGGATGAAAGCCTTAGAAGACTCTCAGCAGGAATGATATTAATTAAGAAGTGATAACAGAATAGGAAAGATAGTAGAATGAAACAGACATTATTACTGTATGTATATACGTGACTGTATGACCAATATGATTCCGCAACATGTACACTCAGAAAAATGAGAAATTATACGCCATCTATGTATGATATATCAAAGTGCATAAATGCATTCTACTGTCCTGTATAACTAATTAAAACTAATTAAAAAAATAAATCCCTAAAAAAAAAAAACAGAAGAAAAAGAAAAAAGAGGTGATAACACAGAAATGAGAAGGAACAGGGAAGCAAAAGGGGCACAGGAAATGTAAAGAACAAATACTATCTAGGTTTTTTCTTTGCAGGTAACATAGTGTGAAGAGACCATGAGGATATGACAACTGAATGAATTGGCTGTTCTCAGTTTTGTTTTGTTTTTTCTCTCTAAGAATTCCAGGTAGAGTTTTGTATTCTTTAATCCTTGAAGATGTTATACAACACCTTGTGAAGAAACAGCAAGATAAGGTCAGTTGTGGAAAGAAAGAAAGAAATTTTCTTTTTAGGCAGAATACAAATAAACTTGAAGAGAATTTAAGAGGGCGACTGAGATTTCAACATTGATTTTTTTTTTCCTTTGCTACACTTGTGTTAGTTCTCCCATTTCCCTCTGCATCACAGCTGTTCTTCTCAGGTACAGGTTAAATCATCTTTTCTCCTAGCAGACTATATGTATGTAGCCAATAAACCTCTGGTGACACAAACAAGCCTTGGAATTTATCATGAAGTAGAGGTGGAGGAATTATTCTCCTTCCAAGCCATGGTGACAGATAGTTACCCTGCCTGTCTTCTGGCACTAGGACCCACTTGGTCTTATTCTTTGGGGCCTACCTCATATATCAGGGGCCAGGGAATGGGTGTTTTCTGCAAGAAAGTATGAGTAAGACAGGATAACACCTAAGAGCAGGCTCTCTGTCTTCTAGTCAAGATTTCCTAGATTGACACTGGATGAGATGATAGTTTCTAATGTAATAGACCTATCCGGGGAAACCTGCTATAATTTACAGCAGAAAAGCAGTCAATGGATGATCATCAATTTAAACAGTAAATTAGGGCTTGTTTTATTCTGGACTCTGATCCCAGTAATGCCCTTAACAAGCTGCCTGCAAAGCCAGGACACGATGCCTGCTGTTTGAGACACGATGATTGAAAAAGAACTGCTCTCGCCTTCACAAACACCTAAAAATAGCAATAAGGACGGGAAGACAAACAGGCTTCTGGGAATGCAGGCAGTTACACGGATGTTGTCAGTTTTATTCCATTTGTTCCCACCAACGTGAAACACAGAAGAAACTCTCTGGTACAAAAGATGTTAACTTGTTACATAGCATCCTAGAAATTTGAAAGACTTAACGCAGCCCTTTAAGGAGCCTGCCCTTTTCACCAGAGGATAGCAGGAGTCCCAGGAGAATCGAAGTGAACTTCAATGCCTTTGTCCTCTATAATTAAAAGAGAGCCTGATAATTCTTTCTTTTGCCTCCTCCTCCTTTTCTTTAAACATAAACTCATATTGTTTGAAGCAAATATATTCATACTTTAAAATGCTGTGCAGGTGCTATCCCTTTGGTTCAAATATGTCCCTTTGCGTGGATGGGGGTACATATTTCTTGGTGATAAATTCACCTCATAAGTAGAAAAACTGTACAGAAATATACTGCTATGTCAACTTTATTGATTTTTGCACCATTGTAAAGACCTTCATTGTCCTCCAATATATCTTAAATCTATCAGCATCTCAGAAAGTGACCCTGAAGGCCTCATTTATCTGTAGAGGAAAAGATCCCTTGGTTTAGGTTCCCTCATAAACACTGTGATTTAAACATCAGGGGCCACCTCTGCTTCTGCAGAGCAACAGGCCCGAAGAAAGCTATTCTCTCACAGCTATTTTCTCATAGTCATAGACAGTGACTTCTCCCTCTCTGGAACTAGGGTCTGCCAAGTCTTCATTCAAAGCAGTTAAAATACCCCTGGCCAAATATCCTTTTCCAAGTCCTCCAAATGGCTACCCATCATGTATGCAGTCTCATTAGTGTCAATGTTTCTAACTGAGTGGGTTCTATGGCAGGGCTCTTTGCTCTACTCCCTCTCAAGAGTTCCTTCTAGTCTCAGGAGCTACATCTGAGCTTGAGAGTGTCACTCTTCAAATCCAACTCCCATACACAACCTTAGTCCCAGGATCCTCATTGTGCAAGTGTAAATGACTCACCCAAAGTCACCTGCTGGTTGGCAACAGATTCAAGGCAGGGAGGTCCAGTTCTGAATCTTAGTTCAGGGACCTTTCAAATCAGAAAGCATCACACTGTATTCACAACTAGGATAGAGGATTTGGGAGGTGGGATGTTGATTTGTTTCTCTATTTATCCTGTGGTGTAAAGCATACTGTGTAGCATACAGTTTGTTGATTGCTAAATTAAATCTACTAAAAATGTGAACTAGAGGAAAAATCAATAGAGATTACGAGGATTAATTCAAAGCCAACAAACAACTAAATCTCATTAAAGAAATAAAGGATAAAGTTTTAGTTCCTCAGTTTGAATCTATATACAGCAGATCAAAATTGATTAGGTTTAATTATTGATGATGGGCCAATAAGGAGGCAGTAAAGACAAGAGAGGAGTGTTTATGATATACCTCTAATTTTAAGCTTGACATTATTGAGCTGTGTTGTCTGGTACTGTGGTCATCACCCATACACATAACTTAAATATATAAATTTAAGTTAATTAAAATTAAATGAAATTCAAAATCCTTTCACTTCCTTATGCTAGTCATATTTCGAATATTCAACAGCCACAAGTTGCTAATGTCAAGAGTATTGGACAGTTTAGAGGAGCATTTCTATCACTGCAGAAAGTTCTACTGGATACTGCTATTTATAGGGGATAATCACTACTATTGCCTCCAATAATTATATGAAGCAGGAAGAACAAGATGATAAGAAAGGAGAATAAAGTGAAAAGAAAACACTGATTAAGCCTTTACTGTCCCGTGCTAAGCACTTGAAATGTCTAATTTCAGATAATTCTTATAACCTCCCTCGTGGGGTAGGTACTATAATTATCCCCATTTTAAATTTGAGGACGCTGTGCTTGGAGAGATTAAGTAAATCACCATACCTATACATTTAGTAATTGGCTTAGCTGGGGTTTTACTCAAGCCATCTAAATTCAGAGTCTAAGCTCAACTGTTATGTTGCATTTACTGAATGAAGCACTAGAAATGTTTAGATGTACACCAGAAACACGTGATACAGTCACCTGAGCCCCAATCCAGAGCAACAGGATAGGACCAGGGCTGGCAGATTTGGGACCACTTACTGGAGTCAGAGTTGAGGATGTTGCTTAAGAGCTAGTATCATTTGCCTTCTACAGTCCAGATGACAAAAGGTAGAAACTGCCTAAGGTCATTATCAGTACCTAATGACAAATTGGAAATGAAACCCTAGAGATCAGAGCTATCATTATTACAGAATATGGTTTAGGACATATTAATGAGGAACACTATTCTATTTCCTGATGGATACTATTAATTCATATAATCTATGGGATACTTAGACATAATGTCAGAATTCAGAATTTGAGAGCTGGGCATGATGGCATAAGCCTATAGTTCTAGCTAATTAGAAGGCGGAGCAAGGGGACTACTTGAGCCCCTGGGTTCAAGACCAGCCCGAGCAACACAGCAACCTCTCTCACCCCTAATATTCAGAATTTGATGACACCAATTTATAAAGATGTCACTCTTCCTTCGAGATAAATGCCATTTTCACTTAAAATTAGACATTTTCTTTCTGGGAAAATAAAAACTCTGAAGAATAGATGGTCCCTGTTAATAGGAAAGGTATAATAAAGTGGAAAAATTATGATTCCCAAGGAAGAAATCTGAATTCTAGTCCTGATTGTGCATGCAGCTTTGAAATATGTGCAAACCACTTTCTTTCTCTAAACCTGAGTTTTCTCATCTGTAAAATAAGGGCATGGAATATTACGATCTCCAAGGTTCCTTGCAGCTAAGATCCAGATCAGGAAGGACTAATCTCACCATTCTTTCCATGCTATGTTCTTCTGCCAAAGGCAGGGCCCCCTTCCTAATGTTTCTGTGCAACCTGGACAAATTTTAGAAATGAACCCCTGTCTGCTGTAGGATAATGCATTCACTGAAATTCTAGTTAATATATTTACTCTATGTCAAGGGAACCCGGAACATCAGATGAAAATCCATCTTTCCTCTGTCCTGTCTAAGCTTATTCTAATTCTTGTGCCTGATTGGTCAGTGCTTCTACAAGACACTCAGCAGCATACACTCAGTAAGACTTACTCCATGTAGCTGCCTTTCCAAAATGGAAATGATGCTCCTACCCCTCACCCTCCTTCATTCACAGTTGCTGATTAGAAAATTACGATGTGTCAGGCACTTCTACACCTTACCACCCATCAACTCATCTTTACATCTCTAATCGAAGTTTAACTGCAAAGGATTTTTAGGTAGCTAGATAGGTCAGCCAATCAAGATAGAAATCACACCATGAATCAGTAGCATGCTAAATATACATTTCTTACCTTACGCTTGTTGGTAGGACACACATAAAGGTAGCTCAAGATTGTCTTCAAACCCACTTTATCATTCAGCTTCTCATAGGTTGTCCCATAATCAGTTGACCTGTAATTCAAAGGAGGCTTTAATGAGGACAGAAGTACACGTCATTCGGCTACTTGTCAGTATAATGCATGTTTTACATAGTAGAATGGCTCTCCGGAGGTTTCTAAATGATTCATGTAGTATATAATGATGCTTAATTATGTACACAGTAGCATCATGTGAGTGGTTAGCATTTGCATTTAAATTGAATTGGTAAAAATTAAAACTCCATCTCTCTGCTGCTCCTTAATGTACGCACTTTGCATAAAGGATGTGATTAATTTAAGAAGATTAAGAGATGAGGGTGTTCCTCAAATTGACCAAAGAAATAAACAGCTTTTAGGCTATGACATTTCTAAACTTTTGCTTTATCTTTGGTACAGTGGAAAAGCAGGTTCTCCTGATTTATCTACAAACTGTGTTTTCTTTCATGAGTCATAGGATATACGGTGGGTTAGTCCCTTCAAAGGTCATTCAGTCTTTTTCTATTATTTAAGAGCAAGGAAATGTCTTAATAATAAGTGAAATTTCACAACCTTCCCGATGGCCTTTTCCAGTGTTAAGCAACCCAGAGTGAGCAGGATGTTACCTCTTGGCACTGAAACCATCTTTCTTGTAGATTCTCTAATCTTTATTTAGCCACTGGTCAATAACTTATGACTTCAGATTAAATACATGGGTTTTAATCATTATCTTTATGAAAGTCTACGTTGTATTTTGAAAATTTAATTCCGGTAGGTCATCCTGAAACCATGTGCAGTGGGGAATGGTAATCTCTATTTGAAGACAGTAGTTGTAGAATGTAGGTGACTATTTAACAGTAATAATTGAGGTTGAGGAACAGGACATCTGGGATTTGAATCCAGGAATCCTGGCCCTAAGCCCTAGGTTATTTTCATTTTACCTCAGCATTTTTTTCTTTCTTTCTTTAAAAAAAAGTAATAAAATTTCCTCTTCATCTCTTTGTTTCACAAAGCCAATTTCCTATGAAATTTATTCGATCATTCACATCTGTGGACCTCCTTAAACATACCAAGACTGTGCTAACTGCCAGGATATAAAAATCAGTCCCCTCAAGTACCTAACAGGTAATTTCAACAGTCAGAAGTATAAAGAAATAGTTATAATGTGCTAGACACAATGACAGAGATATTAATAATAATTAGAAGACAAAGTTGGTTTAATCAAAAAAGAACAAAAATGGGGTAATATAAATTTGCTTTGGATCCTGATAAAAACTACAAATTCCTACTGGCCATAATGATAAATAGAGAAAGTCTTTTTTTTTTTTTTAAAACAATCTCACTTCCATCCACAAAGAGTCTACTCAGAAGAAAACAATGGAGCAAAAAAGTTGGATGAAAGTATTGTTGGAATTAAGAATCAATTCTGCCTTGAAATTCAAGACATTTCATCCTAAAATTTATACCCAGATGGCAAATACCAAAAAGTCTATACTTTGAAGGATCTGGGTAAAATTCCCTATCATTGAGGAATGGAGTGATATGTAAAACTTCTTCCAAGAACTATGAACCTTGACAATGGACAGGAGTTTAAAAACAGGAAGTAGGGTGAGCATCTTCAACTAGAAGTCACCTGGTACAAGGAGGATACATAACTGGCTTCTTCAGGACTAGTCCCCACATTACGACAGTCACATGAACATGGCTTGATGGCCAAGAACATTTGAACAGCATCCCAGAGATCTTTCATAGATCTTATTTGTGAACCACATGGAAATTTCTGAAAATTCTTCTCCCACCCATCTTTCCCTTCTCAAATTCACAGCAAATGTGAGGAGATTTCCTGCAAATTTCTAAAAAATATCTAAGATTTCTTTTCTCACTCAGTCCACTCTTTGTGGTTTTTTGTCCCCCCACTCTCAGGCTCACCTTTCTGGCCAACATTTTCTGTCTACTAAGATTTGCTTGTATCCTAAATGTTGTTGGCTTTTTCTAGCTTATTAATTGTGTAGTTTTTCCTATTCAATATCTGAATAATATTTACAAGTTCAAGAACAAACAAGCAGATGCAATATCTACTTGAGAGTTGGTGGGAGGCAGATGAAATGTGTTCATACTTCTACATTAATACATTTTGCCTAGTGAGATGGAAATAATACAACTTCATTGGATATGAGGGGATGATTCAAATTTTCTAGGGGAATAATAGGAAAGAAGGCTAGAGAAGTAGGGATAGTCTACAGAGAGTGAGTTTCTTAGAATTTCTATTAATTTCTACTAGTGAATATATTTACATTAATAATACCATACACTACAAAGGCAAATAAGGATTACTTTTTAAGCAATCTGTAGGAAATCATCTTCCATGTGTGTATATATGTGTGTGTGTGTGTACATGTGTACACACCCATTTACAGGTGTGTATTTAACTCTAATCCAAATGTCACAAGATGACAATGGAGTAAGTGGCTCAGATTTGCATTAGACTTTTTTCAGAATTTATGCTGTTATTGCATATTGTAATTATAATATCACTGTACACCAGTCCAGTTTCTTCTAGATATCCATCACTATTTTTTGTACTATCTCTTGGATCTCGATTTTATGAAGCTCAAAGATGGAACCAAAATTGTTGATTCTCCATCTCAGCAGACCTGGAGGTCTAACCATCATGGCTTTTGTAATAAGCAATTGACAGAGAAAAAATAATTCATTTTCACACATCCAAATGGTATAGATTGGCAGTTGTCCAAGGGTGTTTCACAGCTAGAATGAGAGTGTTGGCCGGTGTTATGGGTAGAACTAACAATAAGTGGCACATACTGATTTATATGATGGTACAGGAGTGAAAATATTAAATACTTGCAAACCAGCTGGTAGATAGTTATAGTACAAAGATTTCTGAGCAGCTGCTCCTGCAGCTTTACCACCATGGCCTATCAGTACCCTCTAGGTCTCTTAACAGTCCAGCAAGCAAAAGATTGAGGATTGGCACAGCAGAGGTCTCAAGAAACTTTCTCTAGCATCAAGACCAGCACCAGTGCTGTTTGGTCAATGTCCATGACAATCAGCCTATGTCCAAGTAGGGAAGACAGTAATCTTGGTGTGGTCCTGCATCCTGGAAAGAAATTATTAGTGACCAACTGCATCCCTAATTCACAGTTATCATCCTGTGGTCAACTGTGGAAGCCATAGTCTACAAAGAACAAAGGCTCTGAACCAGCAGGTGAGAAAGACAGGTTGAGGAGCAGGCTGACTCGTAAGCCAATGTACTGGTTTGTTAAACACTTTAAATATCAACCCTAGGCATAGGGGAAGGGATATTTTCCAGAATTAAATTATTTGGAAATGCTTGATTAGGCAAAATTTAATGTTCCTGTACTTCACAAATTGTATTATTCTAATATGCACCAAGCCTCTTACATACATAATTCATGTAACATTTTCCAAACATATCTGATTATAGGATCTATTATTGAGTGACATCAAATGAGATTAGTGTTCTGAGCAACACTATTTGGGGAAAAATATCAAAAACAAAAATGCAAAAGAAATAAATGAATCTTGGCTTCATGAGGAAAAGAGAAAAATAAAAATATTTAAAATAAATAAAATTTGCAAATGAAAATACCAGCCTGTGCTTACCATAAAGTGACAACTTTTGCAAAGGAAAAAATCAGAAACAAAAAAAGAAAAAAAGGAAGTGTTCTTAAAATATGCATCATGCACAGACACATTCAAGATGCAATTATGAAGTCTTGAATTCTCAAGTTGTACCATTTTTAAAAAACATTCCAAAGCAAGCATTTTTATCTTCAGGCTTTGTTTGTATGTTGGCTTATCTATAGATTAAAAACAAAACTTCTGTCAACACCTAGACTATGCTAGAAGTTGAAAGCTTAAAAAAAAAAAAAAAAAAACAGCAGCATTTCAGGAAAATAAATATGCTAGTGATTAATCAAAGCTTGCCTCCTTTTGCTTTTGATCTTTAATCTTTATTCTGCCCTTCTTATAAACTTCTTAAATAGTGACTTTCAGAATATTTGAAAGCATGTCTTTAAGTATTTACTAAATACACAGAACTGAGATAAGTTGCTCTGAAGGGTGGAGAAACCACATCAGATGCATCCCACCTGCCTTCCAAGAACCTATGATCCCTAAGAGACAACAAAATTCCTCATTACACTTGAAAAAGGGATCAATACAGGATATGCCTAGTTTCCACAAGAAGTTGCAGATAAAATGTATGATTGGGTCTCTGATAGTCTATATGCAATCAAATGAGACACTAAATCAACAGCATCTTTTGTAAATTCAATAAATCCATAAAAATACTTAGCACCTTGACTAGCATACAATAAGCAACCTATTAATGATAGTTTTTGTTATTTGTTTTATATCTTTTTTCTTGTTTGTGTTTTTTTTTAAATTTTTTTGCCCAACATTTACTAAAACCCATAATGTGAGCCTACAAGGAAAATCTCAATCATTGAATCTTATTTTGATTTAGTTTGCTAAGCAGAGAAGACATTTATGGGGGCTTTTACAACATCTTTAAATGCAGCTGAATTTAGTCCATCAGATTTTGAAGGAAATGGGCTAGTAGTTTTATGTAGGACTTGGATCAGAGACTTAATGGTAAGAACTGGAATATGAGAGTTGAAGATTTTATGCTTTGTTTTTATAATAATTTTATCAGAATTCCATTGCTGCATAGGGTATTATGCTTGAAAAATCTAATAGATAAAATAATAAAAAGGATCCTTCATTGGGTGTTTATAATGGAATCCAAGCTCTCATATGCAGAATTTTATAAGATGAATATTAACACATATTATAAATAAGGAAGACCTTTTAAAATGTAAAACCAGCCAGGCACAATAGCACATGACTGTAATGGCTCAGGAGGCTGAGACAGGAAGATCACAAGTTCAAAGCCAGCTCCAGCAAGTTAGTGAGGCCCTAAGCAATTTAGTGAGACCCTGTCCCAAATAAAACACAAAAGGGCTGGGGAGGTGGTTCAATGGTTAAGCACCCTGAGTTTAATCCCCAGTACAA